GCTAACAAGGCCAGCGCCGGGGCTGGCAGATCGGGAGCCGGTGTGCAGGGGCGAATGCCACGCCGCCCAGGCACGTGTAGGGCCCTGGGGCAGCCTGCCAGCGCCCTTTTCTGGGGGCAGTGGGAGGCTCTGGAGCAGGCTGGAGGGAGGGAAGTGCAACCCCCGGGGTTCGCAGGGAAAACTGCCCCCTCCTCCTGCCTCACACCACCTTGGCTGCCCCTTGCGCACAGGCCTCTCCAGCACCTGGCCCGCAGCCTCCAACAATGCTCCTGCCACCTACCCCTTCCCCTGCTGCGCATGAATCACGGGGGATAATTGCAGCTCCCCGGAGGAACAATGCGCCTATATATAATCCGCGCACACGCACACCCCCTCCCCGCCCACGGCCGGCACGCGCGACGCAGGCAACCGCTGCAGCAGCAGATGTTTGGGGGGGTCAGGGACGTGCCTTGGCCTGGGCCGGCCCGGCTCTCGCCTGCAGCCAGGACGGCTGGAAATGCACCGGACACACAGCTCCGGGATGCAGAGTCTCGCCTGCCTCGGGGCTGGGGCTCTGGTCCAGGAGACTCTGGGTCCCAAAAGGCCGGGTGGTGCCCCCCGCCTGTCCCTGAGGACGGGCCCAAGCCCTGAGCCCTGCAGGGGCAGGCAGGAGCTGGGGGGAGTCGGCCCAGAGCAGGGGCACAGCACCGCTACGGCTGCTCCCGCTTACACCCAGCTCAGGATCCGGCCTCCAGGGGCCACCATGCGAGAGGCGTCTCAGCCCACGAGCCCTGCGCTCCCTGCTGTGCCCCCCCGGGCAGTGCCAGGCCCCAGGTGCAGCACGGCATGAGTGTGTGCGTTTGTGGCAGCGAGCGTGTGGGCAGTAGAGACTGTGTGTGCGCGTGTGCCAGAGAGCACATGCATGTGTGGCGGAGGCACTGTGCGCACGCATGTGCGTGGCAGTAAGTACACGCATGTGCATGCGTGCAGCAGATAATGTGTGCGTGTGCATGTGCGAGTGCGTGCTGGGGGGCTGCAGCAGAAGGCGGCCCCGGCCCTGCCAACAGCGCTGCCCCTGGGGCGCTCGCCTGGGCCAGGCTGGCAGCAGAGCCCTTCCAGCCGCCTGCTCTCAGTGCAGGGACGAGCCGGCTGCACGCCCTGCCCGGGAGCCACCCGGCGTCTGGGGCCAGGAAAGGGACTCGCTGCCCAGGGCTGCGACCTCCTGGGGGCACCTGCAAAAGGGGGTGTGGGGCTGGCACACGCAGGGGGGCCCTGGACTAGGCAGGGCCGTCAGATCTGCTCGCAGGCCGGAGAGCAGCCAGATGCTGGCAGCAAGGTCGTGCAACGCGGGGGCTCACAGCACAGCACGGCACGGCACGGCACGGGTCTCGGGGGCAAGGGCTACAGGGGTGGGTGTGCATGGGGTGCGCGTGCCCCACGGCTGCGCAGAGCGCTGCGGTCCCTGCGCCCGTGGGGGAGCGTCTGTGCCCTCGCCTAGGCTGTGCTGTCCCCGGCGCTCCCAGTCCCGATGCCCCTCCACCGCAGCCGACCGGGCCCCTCTCTCCGCGCCCGGCCCCCCGCAGCCGGCTCGGCCCCGGCGACGCACCTTCGACTGCGTTTCAGCCCATTCCCGGGGCCTCCTTCCCCGGGGAGCGCAGCTGCTGGGCGTAACCCTTTCCAGCCGGGGCCTTCCCCGCCGCGGCTGGAGGAGGACGCGGTGCCCACGGTGGCACCGGGGGGCCCTGCCCTGCACAGCTGGGCACCGCGGCCAGGAGAAGCCCCTGCACAGCTCGAGCCCGGTGCTGCGCGTGCAAAGGGGCTGGCGGAGACGGGCTGGGAGCAGATGCGGCGCCGGGCACCCACGGGGCACGGAGGGGCAGCCTGCTTCGCCGCGCCCGCACCCACTGGCCGCAGCACTGGGGCCGGGGGGGGAACCGGGCCGCCGGCCCAGCCAGTTGGAGGTGGGCAGAGAGCCCGGCGCCCAGGCTTTCCGGGGGCAGCTGCACGGGGAGCAGCGTCGGAGCCCCGGGGGAGGCGACCTGTGCCCCCGGGGCGGTTTAGCTCCTCGCCCTGCCGGGGGGAGGGCCCGGCTGCCGCGGCGCGC